CATGAGTCCCTCCCTAGCTATTTAAGCCCTCTCCCTAGCTCATTCTCCTTGTTTAGTTTTCTGCTCTTCATTTTCTCCCACCCTTGGTGACGAGAGAGAGGAGAGAGAGAGCGAGAGAGAGAGAGCATGAGTCCCTCCCTAGCTATTTAAGCCCTCTCCCTAGCTCATTCTCCTTGTTTAGTTTTCTGCTCTTCATTTTTCTCCCACCCTTGGTGACGAGAGAGAGGAGAGAGAGAGCGAGAGAGAGAGAGAGAGCATGAGTCCCTCCCTAGCTATTTAAGCCCTCTCCCTAGCTCATTCTCCTTGTTTAGTTTTCTGCTCTTCATTTTCTCCCACCCTTGGTGACGAGAGAGAGGAGAGAGAGAGCGAGAGAGAGAGAGCATGAGTCCCTCCCTAGCTATTTAAGCCCTCTCCCTAGCTCATTCTCCTTGTTTAGTTTTCTGCTCTTCATTTTTCTCCCACCCTTGGTGACGAGAGAGAGGAGAGAGAGAGCGAGAGAGAGAGAGAGAGCATGAGTCCCTCCCTAGCTATTTAAGCCCTCTCCCTAGCTCATTCTCCTTGTTTAGTTTTCTGCTCTTCATTTTTCTCCCACCCTTGGTGACGAGAGAGAGGAGAGAGAGAGCGAGAGAGAGAGAGAGAGCATGAGTCCCTCCCTAGCTATTTAAGCCCTCTCCCTAGCTCATTCTCCTTGTTTAGTTTTCTGCTCTTCATTTTCTCCCACCCTTGGTGACGGCTCGCGTCGGCGGCCTCCGGCCGCGCGTGAGGGGACGGCAAGTGCACAAGGATATCGTATCAACTAGGACAACAGCAAGGACACAAGGACGACGCCCACATCTTGCCCGCGCTACACTCAGCAGGCCAGCATGGAGAGCCTAGCCCAGCTAAGCAGGGCTCTGACACTCGAGGAGGCACCACCGGCGCGTACCTATCAACGCCGGGAGCCTACTCGCCGGCCTCTTCCGCCTCTGCCGTCGATAGCAATCCCGCCAGAAGCCTGTCCACAGCTTGCAGCACTAACACGCAGGCAGCAACGAGATCTACACTTGACGCCGAGTGTATGCTCGCCGCAACAGCTTTCATTGCGGCGAGTGTACCGGGGTCTGTGCCTCTACCCGGTGAGGGCGCAGGCAGCGCGTGCCCAAACAGGACCATCAGGTCATCCGACCAGTCCGAGCAGCGTTGAAGAGGACCGTGTGACAGAGCCCATGGAGTCGCTGACCCCTGTAGGGCTGAGTGGGCCGCGGACAGCATCCCTGCCGCCTTCCCAATCGCTGCCCTCAGATGATCCACCCGCCGAAGCGTGGCGGTTGGCATCGCCACCATCCTCTCCACCCGACGGCTACGCCCGACCTGCAGCCGGGGCGGAATCCGCAACCCGCTGGTCCGCCGACGGTCGGGTCCATTGTGGCTTGGCGGGGAATCTTCCCCCGACGACTCCACTCCCCCCGTCTCCGCTGACGCTGCCCCCGCCTCTACTCCAGTCGGCGACGGCAACCGGCGACGTGGGGGAACGAAGGGACCATACACCCCACCTCCAGAAAACAGCAGAGGGGGTGCAGGCAACGGGGCCTGCTCGAGCCAGGGGGGGGCAGCCCGGGGGAGAGGAGGTGGCGGCCACGATGGCAACGTCAGCAGGGAGGGCGGAGCGGTGTGATCGCGCACAAGTGTCCGCGGTGGCTGCTGCAGGGGGAGGGGAGGCGGAGGAGGCGGCTGCTGCGGTGGGACCGGGGGCTGAGCCGGAAGCAGGTGCACCAGTGGGGGCGGCGCCTGACTCGCATGCGCAGCACCCAGCTCGGGGCCTGGCGCCAACGCGGGCGGCGGTCGCGTCTGTGAGCCAGCGCGGACCTGAGCCCAAATATCCTCCAGCACGGCGGTATTCCGCGCGAGAGTTCTCGCAAGCTCCCGCTCGCGACCGTTGGGAGCCCGGCCAGAGTTCCCGCCGCGCCAGCCCCGCCTCTGCTGCACGCCGCGTCCGCGGCCGTTCTGCTGACGCGGAGGAGGCTGCGGCGCGCCGGCCCCTAGGTGCGGGCGGGGGGGAGACCCCCGACGCGCGGACGGCAGGCGCTGCGGCTGCAGGGGCTGCGGACGGCGCGCTGGCAGCGACGGAGACTGAGGACGGGATTGCGCGCGGACCGTCGGAGACTTCGGGAGAAGTGGGGCGGGATGCGACGAGGCTTGACGTGACAACGGTGACGGCAGATGAGACGGCGCGCGCTGGTTCTGAATTTGCGCGGAGGATGACTGGAGCTCGGGAGATTCCTCCGCCCACTCCCGGAGCGGAGGCGGTGCAGGCGGGCTCTGTGGGGGCAGCGGAGCTTCATCAGGCGACCGGGGAGAATCCCCGTCGGACCCAGCGATAAGGAAACCGCGAGCCCAACGCTGGTCCGTCTGCTCCGAGATGCTCGCCCGACCTCGGCGGAAGGGTGGAGCACTCTCGGCGGAGCTCTCCAAACCGGTCGACCTCTCGCGATGCCCATGGCGATCCCGCTCGGCGGAACGCGGGTGCACCATCTCTGATCAACGACGCTCGGGGCGGCTCGCCGGCTGGGGGACGAAGCACTCGGACAGCGACCCCGAGTAGCGCGGCACATGGAAGAAGACAAGGACGGGGACTCGGACGGGGCCAGGCCGAGCGCACGATTAGCAATGGAGGCCCTAGGAACGGATTCCAACAAGCAGCAGCAAGGGCTTTAAGTAGGGAAGAAGGCACAACTGATGCTGAAGAAGCAGGGGACAGGACTTACATACCTCCCCAGCAAGCAGAATCCAGCACCGAGGATGACACTGCTGAGGCGGATGCGGAGCAACCAGCTCGTCAACGCTCTCGAGTTGGATCTACAGCACCGGTTCCCCAAGGAGGGAATTTGCCGCGAGGGCATAATCCCTGGGCTGCGCTGGCAAGTATCATCGGGGCTGAGCCTGAGCTGTCCCCCGAACAACTCGCAGCTGACGAATCCCGCTTCGCCAGCATCGCCAACTGGGACCTGCTGCCCCTGTATGACAGCCGACAGCCCCCCATTTGCCGCCGAGTCCCGCCAAACCTTCGCCCACTCTTCGCGA